GGGGGAAAGTGCCACAGAGACGGAGATGCGTCGATGCGCAAGGGGAGTTAAGGCAGATCGCTTGGATAAAATGAAAACATTAAAAGAGATGACGCATTTGTTTCTCACTGCGTTAGAAATGCTGTAGTCTCGTAGCTGACCCTGTTTCTGAATTCTCATTTTGCTTCCCCAAAATGAGAGTCAGGATGAGGATTTTAAAAAAAATTGTTACACATTTATTTTCACTGGAATTTGGGTCATTTCTTGGTTAGACCCTTATGGTAAATGTCTAGTTACCTAACTGAAGAAGGAAATGACAATAGAGTGAGGACGCTTTGCTTCATCCCGCAGGTCAGTCCCAGGTCCTTGAGTTGCAATATTTGGTTTGCAGCTGGAGCCTCCAAGAGGCCCAGGATTGCCCTTGCTCATCTGTCAACTCTTGCGCCACGTTTTACAGCCTTTTCTCTGTAGAACGGATATACACCTAGCTTTACGCAGCGCCTAGAAACCTTTTGGCAAGGTGGAGGAGAAGCCAAGAGGCGGAAAAAAGTTGATGAGTGTTGGCCGGTCCTGGGTTCAAATCCCACCCATATGCTTACTGTATGTTCCTGGACAAATCATGAAACTCTGAGTTCTTTGCAAAATGAGGATGATATGAAGAACCATGCCTGGCTCCTAGGAAGAAGCCAATACCTGGTAGCTTTGCTGTCTTTGCTGTCGTTAGAATCAAATAGCAGGTGGAGGTTTCCATGGGGGCCCCTGCCTAAGTTATTCATTAGGTCAACCAGGGAAGATGCTGTGGGTTCTCTGTACTTCAGGTGAGGCTGAAGAATACAGTATGGGCCTGTAGAGACCGTCTAGATCTTTCTTTTCTTATGAGCCTACTATGTGCCAGGCTTTATAGAAAAGAATTGCATACATTTAGTTAATGCTCACAACTTTCCCATAGGGGAGGATTATGTCCGCATTTTATAGACACAGAAGTGGCGCACATCTTGGAGCGAGTGGATGCATTGGGGTTTGAAGCCAGGCCCGAGGGCCTCAGCAGCCAGAGTTCTTCCCCTAACATCACACTGCCTCTGAAACCACCATTCCCCTCCTGGGCTTCCCCCCAGGACTGAGCAGATGCCCTGCTGTGTGCTCCATTCAGCATTTACCCCAGAGCTGCCCATCAACATGTCTGCCACTAGCCTCAAAGGCAGCCTCTTATCCTGGTCACTGGTTTATTCCCTGGGATTAGCACAGTGCTTGGCATGGAGTGATGGCTTTCTAGATAGACGATAATGAATGAGTGAGGCTCAAAGATCATGGGAGCTTGGAAAAGTCACGTGGAATCTCTCTGCCTCCTTTTTCTCCCCTGTAATATGGTTGAATCAATCCCTACCACATAGGACTATTTGTGAGAATAAAGTGAAATAACGTTGGTGAAGTGCTTGCTGCAGGCCCGGCACATTTGGCTATTATAATCAGCATGACTACTGGTTCACCATTATATTTCCATTGCTAAATAGTCTGCTGCATAGTGAAAGCACAACCAACATTTGTGAAGGATGAAAGAAATGCGGAGAGGGAAGACAAGAAGGAAGGAAAGGAGAAAGGAAGGAAGGGAGGGAGTGAGGAATATTTATTTATTGGATGAAGGATGGTTGATGCCTCTTATAGACATTAATTGGTCCAGCCCATTTTGCTCTCCCCAGACTGCCATATAATCCATGTTGTTAGGATTGCTAGATTTAGCAAATAAAAATACAGAATGCCCAATTAAATTTGAATCTCAGATAATAAATACTTTTTCAGTATAAATATGGTCCATGCACTATTTAGGACATACTTAGTCTAAAAACTTATTCATCATTTATCTGCAATTCAAATTTAACTGGACATCCTGTATAGCCTGTATTTTATCTGGCAACTTTACATGCTGTTCACCCTGAACATATGTTTTTATCAAATCATCCACAACAAAGGTGGCAGCTTATTGGACTAGAATTCATCCCCGCCAATGATTTTAAGGCTACGTGTGCTGCTAAGCTTGTACACTGTATTACACAGGAATATCTGTAATTTCAACTCCTTATGTATTTTAGACTCCCTAATTTTCTCTTTGTATAATTTCTATTTTTCAAGAGCATGTGGTTTAAAAGGCATATACAAATACCTATTGAATTGTTTTAGGTTACTTATGTCCAAGAATAGGGATGCACATGTAATATTTTCTAATTACTTTTTAATGAGAAGTTGAATTTCATATTTGGCAGAGAATTTCGCAGGATTTAAGACATGGCCAAGAAAGGAAAGAAAATTCAGGTCAAAGTTTGTGTCTTACAGGGAACATAGATATGGTAAAGCTGCCAAATTTTCCGTAAAATCTTGACCATGCTTTCTAAAATGTCATGTCATTTTGTACAATTTGTGCTATCATGCATACCAACTAAAACTAGAGTTCCAGATACCAGTGATCTCAATCTGTGATCATTTAAAAATATATATGCATGATCATAAGCAGTGGGCAAGGTATTACAAGAACGGTGTTCTGAAAGATGGCCCCGAGGTGGAAGAATTCTTCCCGAGGTGACCGAAGCATCAGAAAGGCACCTGTGTGCAGCTCAGGCAGACTGGAGTATCTTTAGTATTAACACAAACGCACCAAATATCCACACCATTTTTTGTATACACACAACTCACGTGCACTCGCATCGATTTGAATGAGTCTCAAATACGCAAACCTGTTTTTCTGCAATCCTCTCTCAGAATCACAACATCTCGGTGTTTAAATAAGGGTGGAGCTTTGGTTTCACATAATGATAACTCTGTAATCTGGTGCTTCAAAGCTCCAAATCAGAAATATTTATTCTGTACAAAAGCAAAGAGAAGAGAAAAGAGCTATCCTATCTATGTATTTAACAGATTTGTAAGTATCTTTTGTGTAGGTTTTTCCAAATTATTGGTTTACCTGCACTTCCCTTGAACAACAGGTGTGTACATTTCAGATTTTGACTAAGGCTTTCTTTTTCTTCCCTCTCTATTTACATATCACAATGTTTTGGCAGTGATATTAATTTTTTTTAAAAAAATGATTACAAACCTAACAGGTGGAAAATTGGTCTTTATTGTAGCACAAATAAACAGTACCTATTTGTCCTTTTCACCACGGTTTGGATCTACCAATAAGGGACTGGAAATCTTTCTCTTCTCTCTAGGTATATGTATATATCCACCCTTCTTTTCTTTGAAGGACTGGAAAAGCATAATAGCAAATTACATAAATTTAAAATGTTATATAGCAAATAAGTAGGATGTGGCAAAGCCCCAAGCTCACGTATAGATTCAACAGATGCATTTTGGCTTTTTTTTCCCAGAGTGTGAGCTGAACAAATCATGCTTGGAAAGCAAGAGGTAAATCTGCCAGTAACACGTTTTAATTATCATGATAAAAACATGCAAACAAAACAATAGTCTTCATTTGGGCCCAGATAGCCGTTAAAGTTATAGGATGGTGTCCTCCATCAGAAGCTCTTAGATCTTCTCACTGAGGGAAAAGTCCCAGATCAGAGGTTTTTAACCCTTTATTTCATTTTGACCATCCTCACTCTCAACAAATCCCTCCACCTGACGTGAAGTGAGCCTAAAACCAAACATGTGGAGCCCCCTCTCCACCTGGAACCCCACTAGTGCCTATACTTTTGCAGCTTGATCCAAAAGTCTCCGACTTAAATGCTTTGATAATAGGGGCTCGTGAGGGCTTTTGTGTTAAGTTATTACTAGTTGTTCATATCTTATTGTGAATTAACCAAAAGAGCTCTTCTGTAACCCAGCGTGATATAAATGGAACTGGCAAGTGCCGAAGGCTTAAGTCAGGTTGGGTCTTCATCCTGGGTTACAGCCAGGGGTGGAGCACACTCTGAATATGTGAGAGAGTCCCTAGCACGTGGGGGTATCATGCTGGAGGGGAGAGAAAAGGAAGTAGAGAAAATACAAAAAGGGAGATGAAACAGACTCATTAAGACCCAGACTTGCTTATGTTTAACATTTGAAAATGGCCCGTGTGACTAGTCTGCCAAGGTATTTGACCTCAGTCTCTGTCCTCTTTCCTGGAGGTGACATAGATAGTCTGGGCACTGGTGACTCTACAAGGCATAGAATTCCTATGATACGTGATGCAAATTATCTTGAAGCTGTGGGACCCCATGTGCATTGGCAATGGGTGTGCTGAAAGCCACTTGTTTCTTTTTGTAAAATAAAATCTCAAGGGCATGCATTACATCTATCTTTGTTAAAAGTGACTTCTGATATTAGTCTGTTCTAAGGAAAACCAAAAAGTGAGAGAAGAAACTAAGCCTCTTCTCTTTTCATCTCATTGTTCTGCAGAGAAGAATATTTTTCTACCATCTGACTACAGGGTAGATGCTCTTTCGGAGGAACCCTAATGGAGATATAAAGGGAAGGGAGCGGAAGGTAGCAATTGCTGAAAGTAAGCTGCAAAAAGCATTAATTACAAGTAATAATGATAAAGACAACTTTAAGCTATTCATGAGCTGATTCAGAAATCTCTGTATAGCAGCTGCCCCCAGGAAATCTATAGTCTTTATTCTGTCGCTCACCTTTTTTTTAAAAAAAAAATCACTTTATAAGTCATTAGCATTGCTGTGGGAAGGTGAGATGGAGAAATGGGACAATGCGGGAAGTTAGTACTTATTAATTAAAATGAGGTGTAGCCTTGGCTGGACCTTGAACCTTGGGCCTTGGGTAACTGAAGGGATCACATATCATGAAGCAGTAATCTGTGACCTCCATCTCTCTAAACCCATCTTATTCTATTTCCCAACACTAAACTGGAGAAATTGAGAGAATGGTTAGGACTTATTTGTCATGTTCTAGTCTTTCGTAAAAATAAGTCCTATTCCAGCAGGCTACTGTCCTCTCGGTATTGGGAGACATTAGCTGCCTCTAAACAGACCCATCTCCCTTCGAGAAGCTCCTCACAAGGTCACTGTCACAATCACCTGGGAGCAAACCCATACCTGCAGGCTATTCTTCATCCACGTCTGTTACAAACTGTGAATGGTGTTCGGGTGACTTGCTGTGCGTTTTGCTTAGGTGGAGTTTTACTGCATGTTTGCTCACAAATGTCCGACAGCACAACTTACACTTGAATTTAGAGTCTGTGTCCTCTTCGCCAGCTATTGTTTCCGGAGACCTCTGAGCCGACGACACCCGGGAAATCTCTTGCTCCACCTTGCTTTGCTGTTCCACGGCCATGCGGGTCATGTCCTTCATTTGGAAACCTAGGTGAGACTCTAAGTGACTGATGTAGGTAGAAGGGGTTCTAAACTGGGAGGCACAGTCACTGCAATAAAAGATAGGGTGTCCTTTGTCCATGTTTTTTAGAAATTTTGTCCCGCCTGTTTTCCTAAGTTGGTACTTGACGTTGGCCAGCCAGTGGCTGATAGTGGTCATAGAGAGTCCCGTAAACTTTGAGATCTGCATTCGCTCTTGTGGGCCCAGATCGGACAGCAGGTATTTGCCCTCGGATGTCTGGAAGAGGCTCGAGGCAAACTGAGCTTGCAAGATCAGAAGATGCTGTGGGTTCCAGTTGGACTGCCGGCCTTTTCTCTTATGCAAAGTCGAGACTTCGCTGGAGACATCCTCAAAGCGCCTGACATCCATTTCCAGCTTCATGGGAGGGACCCTCGAGGAGGCGGCAGGCTTTGGGGTGGTGGCTTTGGGGAGGACTTTGACCATGTCAGCAATGTCAGACAGAGCATGCTTCTGAGGTGGGGACGTGCAGGATTGTGCTTGCGAGGACTCAGCTTTCTTGCTTTTGGACTTGGTCAGGTCGATGGGCTGATCATTGTTCTCAAACAGATAGCGCCTGGACACGCTGGCCGGCCTCGAGGAGACAGGACTCAAAACTGGCTTGTCCATGACGCTGAGATTCGACTTGTGAAACATAGACATTGTGCTTGAGCTTGGGCTGGAGCAGGAAGGAGAGCGCAAGGGTTCCGTGGCTTTGCCCAGGTGATTGTTCAAGACAGACTGCAGGGCGCTTAGCGGGTTGATGCACGGCAGGGCCGAAGCATGGTTGGCGAGGGCACATCCGTTGCTAAGAGAAGACACTGGCTCCAAGGGCTGGGGCTTCTCTTTCTCACCGCCCTCTTTCATTAGCTTGTCCTCCTCTTTCAGGAGACAGGGCTCAGCCGTTTTGGATTCTGCAGGGGGTTCGCTTTTGGAGAAAGAATCCCCCTCATTGTGGCTGAAAGAGGACGCCTCTTCATGGGGACTTTCTTTCCCACACTCCTTCACGACTTCATCTTTGTCTTCAGGCTCCTTCTTAACTTGAGTGTATGGGGCCAGGTTCGTGGGCACAGAAACCAGTGGCATGACTTTCCACTTTGGTGCAATTGGCCTTAACTTGTTGGAGAGATTGGGCCGAATCTGCAGTACCTGGGACCCCATAGGCAAAGATGGCTTGGTGCCCTCCGACAGCTGGTAGGCTGCATGGATGCTGGGGTATGCGCTCCAGCTGGGAGCCCCATTTTGGGCTTTGTTGATGGCTGTGGTAACAGTATTTTCCAAGGACTTCAAAATGTCCCCTCCACCCTTTGTACCATCTTCCAAATCCTCCTCCCTTAGATATTGATATTTTATTGTAGGGTCTAAAGGTTTTTGTAGAGGGTCTTCGTATTCCTCGCTTTTCAGGACCTTCTCTTCCTTGTTGATCTCGTCTGGCTTTTCTTTTTTACTCTCTTTTTTCAATTCAGTTGTAGAGGTTGTACAGTCAGAAGCTGAATTACTTGATGGCTTGGGAGTCAGAGAATCACTGTTTGGGGCATCTGACAATGACTGCATTTTCTCCACAGCTAGGGGGTCTAACACCAGCTGCTTCCCTTTCTTGGAGGCAGAGCTGGTGACCTTGAGAAAGTGACCTGTGACCATCATGTGGGTGGTGAGCTGCTGCAAGGTGTCGTGGGAGCTCCCACACTCCATACACTTTAAGATCTGGGACTTGCAGGCTTCAAACTGCCAGGTGTAACTGGCGCCGTTTTGGTAGCCATAGCGGTTGTTGGAGGACAAATGCAAGTTGGCATTCTTCTGAGAAGAAAACGAATCTGCAAATGACCCTGTGGTTGAATCGGGGGAACATGGCCGATTGACATCAAAGACGCGTTTCTTTGCCGGAGTGACCATTTTCGATGAAATGGTTGGTACTGGCTCCTTCAAAGGCACTTTTTGGTAATGTTTTGTTTTTATCATGTGGACGCTCAAATCTTGGAGGGAATCGAAGGAGTCGCCACAAAACATACATTTCAGAACCTTTTGAGCATCCTCCTTGTCCATATCCTGGAAAGCCCTTTTCCGGGGCTTTGAATAGCTCGTGGGTCTAAGCTTGTCCTTTTTGCGGTTGTCATCTTGATAGTGGCCCGTTTCGTTCATGTGCACAGTCAGCTCGACCAAGGTGTCATAGGCAGCACTGCATTGCCGACACCGGAATCTACTGGCCCCTGTGAACACAGTCCCACACATCTTACTGCTCTGCCGGTACAGCTGGACGGAGCTGAACAGGCTGGGCTTTGACACAGATCTGGAAGGCAAGTTCTGCTGCAGGCTTTTAGACAGAGCGTCTTGGTGCCAATCAAAATCAGTCTTGTTGCTGCCATTTCGGGTGTCACAATTCCTCCTCTCGCTGTTGGACAGCTTGAAGCCGAGACCAAGGCCTGACCAGTAGGAATCAGACAAGATGTTGGCATAGACAGCAGTCATTTTATCCATGCAATTGTGGGCTTCATTTGGAAGCTTGGGGTGCATGCTTGCTTTCTTGTCTGAGGCATCTCGACCACAGACGCTCTTGATGTCTGACACCTGATCACTGGCATCGCTCAGCAGAGACTCATTCTCAGCATCCTGATTGGACAAATGACTTCCTGGAGAGTTCTGGTAGCTGAAGCAGCCTTTCTGCTCTGGGCCCGTTTCTAGCTCCTCGTCTGTCCCTGGGTCATTGCTGCCCTGAAGCTGAGCCACAGAACCACTGTCTTCCTCCTCCTCCTCCTCTTCTTTTATTTCCTCCTCTTCCTTCAGCTGTTCCTCCTGGGCGTAGCCTGCAAGAGAAGAGGAGATGAAATCACAAAACGGGTTACATATTCCATCCCAATTTCCCCACTTAGACTAAGCGCTTCCTACACCGAACTGAATAGCAATTTAATCCACACTTTTATGAACTGCAAGCAATGGAGGCAGGAAAAAGCCAAATGATGTCTTTTGTGCTATCTAATGCCTTTTTTAAAAAAATTGGCAGGAGTCGTAATTCTTTATAAATGCCTAGAATCCCAAGTTAATAATTTTCATGTTTAAGGAATATCACTCTAATACTCCTCTAACGGGACAGTCGCTAAATTCACATGTATGATTTTCAGGAAAGCTGGACTGAAGTTCAAATCCTATCAAAGATACATCTCTACAGAGAAGGAGGTTGGCTTATGGGAAAACTAAGGCTTGACCCTCGGCATCTCCATGGTAAGGTTTACCCAACTACTTGGATATATTGGCATACGATTGTCTTAATAAATCATTATTGAGTTCTCAGAAGTAATTTGAATACACAGCCATTATATTTTTGATAGCCAGTGTCTTTTTCTTATAACATTTCTCTTTGCAGAGAGTGGCACAGCAGGAAGAGAAATGATGGAATATCAAATAAAATCTTCCATTGATAGCCGAAAAATTATGTAAGCTCAGCAAATAGAATGATTTTAAAATAATAGCAAATGGTGTTAGAATGGGAGATTTGGGGACTATCCTATTATTCTCAAACAGGTTTATGAAGACCTTTTCAGACAAGGCTGAAAATGCCCTCTCGATCTTGTGCCTGTAATTTCAAATGCAGTGTGATTTGTGGGTTCCCGTCATGAGATGCCAATTATATGTTTGATTTGTAGATGCAAAATGCTATTGGGGATGCACGCTTTCCCTTCTCTGAAAGGATTTAGGACCAGTAATTGCATAGGGAAAATGAAGGCATGAGAGAGCGGGTGCAAAGGGAATTAATGGGCAAATATCCATCAATGGAGATGAGGAATGTGACTATTTATGCCTATGCACTCATTTTCTTCACCTGGCCTTTTCAGAGCCTCATGGATAAAATGCAACCAAAGAAGTACCCAAAGCAAGGGAGATTCAGTCTTCGGTTTGCAAGGCCTGCATGATCTCAATACGTTATTTTCCTTATGAGCTCCTATCTCCTCTCTCAGTGCAGGTGCGCTTGGGAGAAACCCCAGGGCGGTGCTGTTATTTCCATTCACCAGGGATGAAGCTTGGAAAAGGGGTGATCATGCATTGGAGGTCTGTCCTGCGAGGCAGGGAGAGAGTTAGGAGAGAAGGGGGGTTGTTGGAAATAAGGCAGCTGCGGTCAGGAACTCCAAAGGCTCCTGCTGCTGCTGAGGGTGAAGGCTATTTATTGAGCCATTATTGAAGAATCCTAGGAACTCTGCTAACCGCTGCAGATATATTTTTTAATTTCATTTAATATACACATGAAGTAGAAACTATTATTTTTATTTCACAAATGGGAAAACTCAGGCTTTAAGGTTAAGAAATTTGCCCAAGGCCGCACAACCGGCATCGCAGTCAGCTGAACCCAGTCTGTTTGATGAGAGAATCCATGGTCTCATCCACTAGGCTCCACTCTCTTTCTGTTACCAACCAAGTGAATAAGAAAACTTTACAGAGACCCAAACGTTAAAGGTTAAGCCGTGGAATTTCATTGAAATGTCACTAAATAGATAACTACCTTGCAGGTGGGAATTATGGGGATACTGGAGACTGGAGCCCATGATTTTAAGGGCACGAGAGCATAAAACAGATGAAATGTAAAAACTGAGTCCGGCCACCAGCTTCATGGTTGTTACTGGTTTCATTATTGTTACTGCTGTTGTGTTGTCTTCTTTCCCAGCAAGCTGACAAGGGGATTCTAAACTGGTGCTGCTGATCTCTAGTTCCATAAATTGATTTGAAGAAACAAAAGCTACTCAGTCTAGTCAACAACCATTAAGAGGTAGTCACTACTTGCAAGAAAACCCCAGTTTAAAATAACTGATTGGCTGAATCAGACCATCCCATCATCCTCATCGCATTTTCTTTTTCCTGGACTAATTTGTATGTCTGCAAATTAGTATTTGGTATGTATGTTAGTCATACCATTAAGTTCAAGGAGAAAGTCTGCTATAAAATTAATAAACAAATTGTTACAGAGCCAAACAAAATACTCCAAAGAATCAGGCAAATTTTATCAATTGAACAGAGCCACTTTTGAGAATTAAAAGGGCTTTGTTCCTTGTACACTAGGACCACACGCATTAGCCAGGACTATTCCAGGCTTACTAAGACATGTAGTCACCGATGGGCCATATGATTACAGAAACAAAGGAAAGTGTGTGTGCATGTACATACACACACTTGTGCACACACACACACGCATACACACACACAGAGCAAGTGGGTGATTCTGGGGGAAGAAAGAGGGCTTTCTGTCATCTCAATTGGGCACAGGGTTGATCGATTTTATTCCTCTCAGTACTTTTCGTGCTTAGCACAGGGCCTGACCCTCAGTAGGAAGTTGGGAAGTAATTCATGTTATTTTGTGTGTGTGTTGATGAAATATACATGCATGCATGTATACACGGGCACATGTGCGTGTGCTCACAAACGCAACCTGCCCAGCCAATACAGTCACTTTCACACAAGGAGAAAAGGAGTGTTCTTTTTTTCTGCTGCCATTTGGAAGCTGAGCTTTCCGGACCAGCTCAACTTCACAATCTACTTTGTCCTTCTAAATGGATTCCCCAGAAGAAAAGTCGGAGACAGCAAAAGCCTCCCCCACAATACAGATAAAATTTTCTGCTTAATTAGGCATTGACATGTTTACTATAACCTTTACAGAAGAGGAACTCGTGCTGAGAGACCCTTTTTGTCTGTTTTCTTCTGCAGAACAGACTAAATCTCCTGCGCCCGATAAGGTAACGCATTGAAAAGCCTCATAAAAAAAAGTGCCAAAGCATCCGTCAACGTCAGTGTATTTCAACAATGGCTGAAGGTTCCAAGGAGTTTTTAAAAACACATTTTAATATCGTACATTTAAAACTGTTCACTTGACTTAAGTGATTTTGTTTGCCACAGGCAGCCGAGGCGAGAGAGAAAAGACAGCCAGAATATGGGCGATCTGGGTGTATAATGAGTCTCTGTGTCTCTCGCGATCGATGATTTGTTTAATCAGATTGCATCGTGTGTAAATCTTAGTAAAGTAGATGAGTGGCAAGTTTATTCTTATGAGTACTTATTTAGCAAAAGAAAATGATCACAGTGATGCGAAGGCACAGTGAGAAAGCACTGTCCTCTGTAGATCCTCCTTGCTGATTTCTGGTTGAAGACCAAATTTTGTGGTGGCCAACGTCTCCCTTTCCAACCTAAATTTCTAATTTCATCCCTTCTCGCTGCCTGGCTCTGGCCCCAGGAAGCATCCCCATGCCCAGGGCAGCTAACTCAGGCGCAAACCCTGTCAGTTCTGTGTCTAAGTGACTGACTGGAGAGACCATTTCTCCTCCACGCCAGGACCACCCCTCTGATGAGGCCACCATTATGGTTCACTAGGGTGACAAGGCGGGCCTCCTCTTTCTATTTCCTCCCATCTGTTTTTCAGAGAACTGCTAGAATATTCTTAGTTGAAGGTATGAGGGGGTGACATTGCTCTGTTTTAACTCCTGCAGTGTCTTCTGCTGCACTTAGGATAAAATTCAAACCCTTGGTGGGGTCTCTGAGAGCCTGTGGGAGCCGGCTTCTTCCTCCCTGCTGTGTCCTCACTGCCCCATCCCTGGTTTCCATGCTTAAGGCTCAAACCAACCTGCTCCTTCTCAAAACTGCCAACCCTTTTCCTGACTGTGGCTCTTCATAATTGCGATTTTTCTGTCTGGAAAGAGTTTCCTCTGGACCCTCGCATCGTTGGTTCCTTTTTATCCTTCAGTTCTCAGCTCAAACGGCCCCTTCTCAGAAGGCCTGTCGTGACCAGTCTCTCTTCTGTGTAACTCTTGATCACATCCACCTACTGGCTGAAACCTCTGTGACACTCACATACTCTGCAATCATCTTGCGTGTTTATTGATTGTCTCCTCCCACTAAATGTAAAGATAAAACGTCTGTCCCCAAGCAGACAGAGACATTGCTTCTCCCAGCACTCAGATCACACCCCGGCACAGAACAATATCCACAACTACCTGAATAGATCATGAAGGATGAATAGATCATGCAATGAAAGGGTGTTTATTCCAGTTGCAAACTCTAGCTCCACTTCTCAGCAATGCTGTTAGCACCTGTGATGGGAAAAGCTCCCCTCCCCGCCCTATAGATCACGTGTGAATTACAACCATCCTGATCAACTTTTCTCCATGATAAAATCAGAATATTTCCATAAATCATCTTTTCAGAACAACGCAGCCACCAGCTTTCCTGTTGCCAGAAATCCTTGAGCTATGGATCTCAACTTTTAAGGATGAAGGCTGCAAATCAGTATCAAGACTGCAAAGCAACAGAAAATACACTCTTACTCTGAGCAGACTTTGATTCAAAAAAGATTCACACACGGGAACTTGGAAAGGATGGACTAATTTTGTCATGGATAAAGCCTGTTAGCTGTTCCGTGAAACATGTTACACAGATATTAGAGTGGTCTTCTCTAGAATTCTGATTTTAAAAAGGAGAAATGTCACTGTAGAAATATGTTGTATATGCTGCAAATTTTTTACTCCATTAGTACATGGGTAAAATTCAGAAATAAACTCTTAAATTTTAGAAATTTCCTCTTAAATCAAAGATTAGAAAAACCAAAAGGGAAACAATTTAAAAAATTGCCACTTCAATTGTTCCAAAAATGTCTAGTCAGAATGATTTAAATGAAATTGTGCAAATAATTCATGGGGGGCATGATGTTAGATATCAGATTTTTGCCCAGCATACGTTTTTGTAGTTGCCTTGAAAATCCACAATAGAGTGTTTATAGGAAAAACACTGACAGTTTTTAAAGTGGCAGTAGAGGTGGAACAGCTATAATCCG